AATACACTTTTTTTAAGGGGGGAAAATCATCGAATGACTGCTTCCGCCTGGGTGAGGCGGGAGGGAGTGTCAGACTCTTACTGACTAAAAACCACCCCGTTCCTTCTCCTGCACGTCGAGCCGGAGCCCCGGTAACACGTTAGGATCTCCGCAACAAAACTAATACAGTAGACAGACAATACTGACTTCACGGTAGGTGCGGTGGCTGGGCAACTGGCTGCCGTGCAACGTGTCACGGGTTCGATTCCCGCACGGAGCAACTCTTTGTGTAATCCACAAATTGTTGTTCCTGGTCTGGGTGTCATTATGTGTATGTGAACTTGTATGTTTGTAAACGCACCCACGACACAGGAGAAATCCTAGTGTAGGGCAACGTTTTTTTTTAAAAATACTTATCAGGCATTCTACAACACAAGTTTTACCACGAAAAATAGCTCAATAAACTAAAAACTAGACAGTCTGTTATCAAAAGACCCCATCTTATTTAACGGTCCTAAAGGTCCTAATTTTGGACCATCATTAACACAATTTATGAGAAGGACCCGTCATAGAGCCATTAACTAGGCCCCAGTGCCTTAGTATTATATATTATTATCATTTGTAACTAATTATTGTATTAGTGAATGAAGTATTTGACAAATGTAACCTGCATTAGTTGCAGTAACTGGTTATATATGAGTAGTTTTAAAGTAGAGATTACATGCGATTCAAACCTACAATTTCAATTATTATAATATTTAATTTGTACGTCTATTAGAAACTTCTGCCTCGTTGGCCGAGTGGTCGCAAGTGCAACTGCCGGGCAAGGGGTCTCAGGTTCGATTCCTGGGTCAGGTAAAGCATAACTGGGTTTTTTGAGAAATATCCCAGCCGGTAGTAGCACGGAGTCTGGAATTTTGCCCGATATATTATGGCAATAGGCTCACTCATAAAATAAATAGTGAAAAGTGGGTGTTACATTGTACAGTGGCATTAAGTGCCGTAATGTGCACCTCTCCCTACCCCTTCGGGAATAAAAGGTGTCATGTTATGTTATGTTTACAGAAATGGAAGGTTTTTATTTGGGTACTTGGGTTTATTTGCTTTTTCTTAAAAAGTTTCTATTTTTTACACAATAAATAAGTATGAAATAAAGACTACGTTATACATGCGTCTATAACATTTATACTAAGAACGTATTTTAACTTTGACAACAAAAACAAATCTACAAAATCGTAGCCAAAACTCAAAACAGTGCCAATTTTAGACGCCCTATATTCAGAGACCAAATTTTCGAAACACACCAGAGGTAAAGTGAGTTGTGGAGTGTCATTCATTAAGGTTTTATTGGTTTCGTCCAACGGTGGGATCCCGTCCGTCATTGTGATGCGGGTCTGTAGTTAATTCTACCCACTTCCAGTTAATTCCGGTTTAGAATTAACGTTATATGTCAGGTAGTGAAGTGGAGTTTGAGTTTTGATAGTGACGTAGGAAATGTCGTATCGATATAATGAATATGTTTTCAAAATTACTCGACATTTATATTTTTGTTGAAGAAAATTAGACGACAAGAAGACCGTTTGGTACTGAAAAAAGAATATAAGAAATTCATTTGTAAACTTAAAAGTTTACACATAAATTAAACATAGGTATAATATAATCAAACCGCTTGTCTCATCATCACCAACCTCTTCTCATAGGCAGAGCATTAGAGCATTAATCACCACGCTTGCTCAATGCGGGTTGGCGATTTCAAACTTATAATATGAAATCTCCAGAAGTCCAGGTTTCTTCACAATGTTTTCCTTCATCGTCTGTCAATGATATCTGAATAATCTTAGAAAGTACACGTAACTCGGAAAAAGTCACAATGGTATTTGCCGTTGATAGGCTTCGAACCCGCAGTCTCATGCACGACAATCATTTTTTGTCTACTAACCAAAATATCTGTTATTTATGTTACGTTATTCCTTTTTATTAAAACCTCTATACATAAAGAATAGCGAAGAATTCACCAATATTTTAGTGGTTTTATCCTAAACCAACATACCCTTTAGAATCAATTAACAAGATTGTACAATAAGAAACGATAAAAAAATACTGAATAAAAAACATTTACATTAGATTTGTTTAAAAACATCTAAAAAAATAAAACTATAGAGACTCTAAAGTCTAGAATGAGACTATCTTTAGTGTTTTGTAACTAAAAAAGGTTTTACTTGACATAACTATCTCATACTTACTCGTATTATGATTACATCAAAAGAAATGCGTGTCGAGCCGGTGCTACAGCTGCTGCTGCCGAGACCCTCAAACGGTGAATTGATTGGCAATTATGCTTTCGAACCGTTTGGGGTTGAAACTTTAGGGCTGTGGGGTCCACATCTTCTTTACAAAGATATTGTAAGGAGGATGGTTAACACTTCAGGTGATCGAAGGCCTGGCTATTACCATAGGCAAACGTTAAGCATTGCCATTCAACGTGGCAATGCTGCCAGTGTTTTGGGCACCCTACCTCACGATAGTGATAAGGATTTTTTTTTAAATGTTTTAAGCTAACATTTTTGTTAATTTCTTTAAAGGTAATTTTTAAAAAACTTTGAGTACATTTTCATTGAATTGGCACGTTTATCTTAGTTTGCTCTTTAAATTTAATTTTGATAGCAAAATTACCTACCTATATTAAAAAATAATATTATCTATGAAGTATATTTTTACAATAAACATAACTAACCTTAAAAAAATATTATATACAAGGACTTATGGACGAAACACTAAAAAACAAAACGAAAAATAATGAACATGTTCTAGTTATGTTATTGGACAGGTTCCAAAGACTTTAACATTTCAATGAGGCACAAAGGACCATTATTTTCACCAATGGAACTGGAAATATTTAATAGGAATGTTAAAACTTACGTGAGACATACTTTTTATTTCCATATATTTATTTAAAATTCTCTATAAATTACATTTTTAAATACTACTCACAAAATAAAAAAAAAAATTTTAAAAATATAAAAAATAGGAGCCGACCAGTAGTGGGAGCATGGTCCAAGCTACCGGTGGTTAGGGCTCCAGAGACAGAAACCTCCTCACGATACGTGCCGTTTCTAGGAGAACTGCCTTCTGTATCAGGCCCTTGATCCATCCACCTAACCTTAGCCTCCTTAGATAGACATACTTAATTATTATGTTTACGGACTCACGTAACTGTTTGACGACAAACTCGACTAGTTTTGAGTAGCAGCGCAACAGTCGCCGCGGATCGTGAAATACTCATGAATATGAGCCTCTAGCATGGATTGAAACTAGTCGAGTTTCTCCTCAAACAGTTACGTGAGTAAATGCCAGAATACTAAAACGTTACTCAATTTTAAGTCGCGCTCAAATATCGTGCCATCTCTGTCATTTTACAAAGAATTTGTAGAGATAGAACTATACTTAAGCACGACTTAAAATTGAGTAGCGTTTCAGTATTCCGACATAAGCCGACAACATAATAATGCATTTAATAGGAATGTTTAAATGTATCTAATATTATTTTCATCTAACAGTTTGTTGGTTGTGGTGTTTTTTTTTTGGTATCATTATAAAGCTAGGTTCTCTTTCACTCTATTTACTTTTATATGTCATAATTGTTATTGAGTTTTTTAATCTACGTAAAATAAGTTATTGCGAATACGATCAGTCAAATTCAATGCTTTTTTCGAAATACTAAAAACGACAGTTTTCTATGAATTTTGGACGAGAATGTGTATTGTGACGTCACTTTTTTTAGCGTCAAACAGCGAAGTTATTTCTTAAAAAAATGCTGGAAAATTACTAAAAATTAAGTTGGTTATAAAACCAATTACTGAAAGTGTGATCATTTTTTAATGTAAAAAACATAATAAATATATTGAACAGTCGAAATAATTTATTTTTGATTAAGAAAAGTACTCAATTGTCGTTTGGTTACACTGCAAGAAAAACTTTCACAAAATTGAATATTAAATCGTTATCAAAGTACTTATGTATTTTTATAGTTTGACATAAAACATGATTCCTTCACATTTTCAATCGGTTATTTCTAGTTCACATCAACGGTTTCCTAAGAAAATAGTTTTAACTGACAGATAGTCAAACAAAGATGAAACAATTTGCTTTTTGTTCTTCTTTCAACACCTATTATTATTATCTGAAAGGAAATAGACAGAAGTGTAATAACAATACACACCCACATTTTACTAGAAACAAGATATAAGAAACAATTTTCTAACATCTTATTTCAAAACCCCATTTCGTTATAGGATAAGCCGGTAAACGAGTACTCAGATCACCTGATGGTAAGCGATCGGCGTCGCCCATGGACATCGGAAACGCCACTGTCGTAGTGCGTTACCGGTCTTTAGAGGATTAGAAATTTGAGGACTGTTGGGAATTCAGAGATTGGGGAAGGGGGTAATTGGGCCTCCGGTGACCTCACTCACACGACGAAACACAACGCCAGCGTTGTTTCACGTCGGTTTTCTATGAGGCCTTAGTATCACTCCGGTCGAGGCGGCCCATTCGTGCCAAAACATGAAAATTGAAGGCTCAATCCTATCCATCCCTAAATTCCTAATGCCAACAATGCAGGTGTGAGGTACCCCTTACCATTATGTGATACACGCTTGCTTACCGCTATAGCCCAAAAAAATATTTTCGTCAAAATCTTATGTTTTACTATTGAAGCTGATGAGTTTGTTTGTGTGCTGAAACTACTGATTCTAATTGAAAAAAATATTTTTGTGTTGGATACTTCATTTATCGAGGAAGGCTATAGGCTATAAAACATCACGCTACGATCAAAAGGAGCCGAGCGGATCGGGTTAAACTGCACGGAAGTAGCCAGTTAGGAGATGCCATATAAAAAAATAATTCTTTGTTAGATGGAATCATGTCAAAAGAAGAAAGAGCCTTAAACCTAACACCAACCAAACTTATAAGAAAAAACTTCAACCATAATTAATAAATTTTTCAATTGTTTCAGAATAACCATGTCTATCTCCGAGTTCCGACGAAAGAAGCTCCTCTACGTGTTCAACGTTTTTTTCGGTAATATAATATAAAAGAATGTTCCTTAAAGTTTTACGAAACGAGGGATTTTTACAAGGCTTGTTAAAACTTTTTTCTTTTTCAGATGTCAATCAGAGCGGCACGATAGAAAGGAAAGATTTCGAGCTGGCTATTGATGTGAGTTGTTTTACTTTTTCTGTTTTTAGTTTTGATACTAATTGCCTTGATATAAGGTCCTATTTTGCAATAAGATAAATTTAGAGAAGTAGGTACTTATATGTTCGTCCTCATAAGAGTATAGATAGATATCTCATATATATCATAGATATCTTGAGAGACCTTTTTTATCAATGATGTTTATAAAAAGAATATCTTTGATGCACTGTATTGTACTGTGTCCATTTCTATTGACAGAGTATAGATACAAAAGTAATTACTTTTCCCTTACAAGGTTTCAGGTTTCAATACTTAGGTGACAGCCAAAAATTGTTAGTACTTGAGAAAAGTTAGGTAATGATCTCGAAAAAAATAAAGAAAACAGCAAATAATCACAGTTTAGAAAAGAACCCATTTCTTAGTAGCCAAATAACAAACAATCGTTTCTGAGTACCGAGATACCGAATAATCGATTCCAATTGTGTCCCGATTGCCAATACACATTCATTATAGGTTTCGATTCAACCAAAGATATTGCTCAGGTCCACAGGTGTGTCTGTTTGTGTGTGTAGTTTACCAAGTGTGGTTACATAAACTAGATTTATGTGTAGGTTGATAGGATAATCTAAAGTTTGTTTTTTTTATAATAACTATCGTGAGACTTACTAAATTAACTGAAAATCGCGGGTTACTCACATAAATATACTGAGAAAAGCTCTACTAGTTTCGAACCACAGAGGGGTTCTTCCTCAAGAGCAGCGTGCGCGGTCGCAGCGATGTCGCACAGCCTACTGGCTAGCGTTGGCGCTCGTATCAGTGTTGCTACTTGCGCATCTAGCCCAATTTGTTTATTTTGTTTTTTATTTAATAACTTTTAAAAAGAGTCTTTATACACTTGTATTAAGCAAGCCATTGTCTACTAGTTACCTGACATTAAAATTAATTTAAATAGTGTCAAAACTTCACAAAATGGCGCTGAACTAGTAATTCGACATTTCTATAAAGTATGGAAAAGACCTTTACAGCATAATTTTTCAGTTGTTGGTAGCAGTTTTATGTGAGCCAATCGTCAGAAGTTTAGCTGTTACCATAATTTCTAACTAAACAAAAGCCTAAAACTGCCCGGTACAACAAAATCAAGTCACTCACACTCATGTCAGGTGGTCCAAATTTAATAGTTTCAACACAAATAAATTCATCAACACTTAAGAATATATCTTTGCCAACGAATCTTTAGTAAATTGTATCATAATATTGACGTTTGTTATTTCAATATTGCATTCGATTCTAGTTAATGGCCCGAACAGATAATAACTAGGTCAAATAATTCTATTTTTATAACGTCCCGGTTCGCCATTTTAAAAAAAAAACGTTAAGTGCGCCACCAATGATTGGTTGGAATCGATATAAATTTGGACGTAATCGATTAGTTTGGCTCCGATTTCGACGGACATATTGATTGGTAGCTGAAGTATGGAGACGTTAATAGCAATAATTTTCACATCATTCATCTCGATAGAAACATTAATCAATCGGTAATCGGTGAAATGTGTTGGTTCGGGAACGAAGCACGACACTAATGCTAGTTTATAGTGTTGCAGAGTTGATGGTTATTTGTTTTTTAACGTATTAGATACTGTTTTAGCTGCAACTTTACTGTGGTTCAACAATCGTAGAGATTATATCTCTAAAATGTATGAACTTGAACAAAGTGCATATAGTACAATGCTCTTTTATTAAAAAAAGTTGCCCCTCAATAAGATTTTCTATTGTGCCATGGATGAGTTAACAAACATACAAGTTCATATACACATGATACCCAAACCCGGAACAACAATTTGTGCATCACACAAAGAGTTGCTCCGTGCGAAAACCTAACCGGCGTCGCGATACGTTGCGCCGCAGCCGGTTACTCAATCACTGCATCAACAGAGCCGCCAATAGTTTCAATTTATAATACTAGATCAGTTCTAGATAAATGTTTTCTGGTGAACCAAGAAAATGTTATTATTGGTGATGTTAAGAAATAATAACATAACGGACCAAAGAATGGTGTACAACAAAAATTGCCCTTTATTCTAACCTTCCTTTAGAACTTGACCTAGTTTCCCTATTATTAATGCCTTTGTATCTTCCTTTAGAAAATCTGCCACCTGCGAGGATGGAAGCCTGGAGACCCCAAGAACACGGAGACACATGAGATCATGATCAAGATCTGGGATGGACTTCGGAAGAGGGCTGACTCCAACAAAGATGGACAGGTAAGTTCGGATTGCTTTGTTAAATCTCTTTGGAGACATGTTTTAATAAACTAAATGGATTATTAAGGCGAAGTATAATTGGGTGTGCTCTATGAAAAGTTACTAACTTTTAAATTGGAGTAAAAAACCATCGATTCGAGTAATGCAAAAACACCTAAAACAACTTCAGATGATTCATCATCATCATCAACAGCCTATAAATGCTCACTGCTGAGCAACGCCTCTTCCCACACGGAGAAGATTTGAGCATTAATCACCACGCTTGCTCAATGCGGGTTGGCGATTACAAACTTATAATTAGAAATTATAAGCCCAGGTTTCCTCACGATGTTTTACTTCACCGTTTGTCAGTGGTGTCTAGATTATCTTAGAAAGTACATAAAACTCGGAAAATGTCACATTGGTACTTGCCGTTGGTAGGTTTCGAACCTGAACTCTCATGCATGAGAAGCGGCCGTCTTAAACCTCCGGGCCACCATGACATTACAGATGATTGTGGACAGTAGATTAATCAAAATTTTCTATTACAACAACAAAATAATTTACTTGATAATCTTGACTTTAACAAATTCAGTGACGAGTCCAATCTACATATCTGATTATAAAAGGCGGAAAAAAGAAGCAAAAACACTTCAGACACACATTGTTGTAGAAATTTTCTCAAGGCTTTGCAAATACTCAGGAGAATAGGTACTTCAAGCTCGATTATTTCCTTTGCTAGTTCCCATTTTATCCATTTTGAGCTCATCAAAATGGAAAGCAGGATGCCAAACAAAATCAACGGAATTTCAAGTTAAAATTGTTTTTCTTCGCAAATTGACTTTTTCATCACTTCTTTCGTTAATGGCTTCTTTTAATCCTATTTATTGTTTTTGGCCTTGATTTGAGATTGTCTTGTACTCTTGTTTGGTAGTTTACAATGGTAGTATTGATTAGTATTCGTATTGTAACTCAATTCTATAATCGGGTTTACCAAACATATTACCATTCTTTGCCATAATGATATTTTAAATCTCGCACCTTTCTTCCGCTGAAATACATTTTTATTAAAGTCGTTTTTATATTTTCTCTGGAAAAAAATGGCCTATCTGCTATTCAAGCGTATAATATATTCTGGTGCTTTTAATTGCGATTTATGAAGTACAAATATACAAACAGACAAAACTCTAATTGTTATTTCAAGTCAACCTCTGTCCTTTTCACAGAAGACATAAACTTTGTATGTTCCTTTTCGTAAAGGGATAATTTTTCCTCAATAGATGGACATATCGACCTGTCATTTATTTTATTCCAAGTTCAGTTTCTCATTAACAAAAAAGTTATTGTAACAACACCTAATTGAGAGCCTATAACAGCTCTTTTAACAAGAAACTATAATAATAAAGCTAAATATACATTGCTACATAATCTTTCGAAGAAAAACAGATCTAATGATATGTTTACGTTATAAACTTCAAGGTCTTGAATATTTTTCCTCATTCCTGACATGTGTTATGTATACATAGCTATTCAGGGAATTCTGACTTAAATTGTTACTTTTTTAACAGGAAAATTGCGACTGATACATTACTTAAAAACTAACTATAAGACATAGATTGATTTATTATAACAAATATATTTATTATAAAGCAACTAGATGAAAAAGGTTATATAATTATATAATTAGACTAGTTCCTTTAGACTATGTACGTTGTTGTTAAACATTTGTCCTACTAATATTATGAATTTGAAAGTTTTATGTCTATATAAATTATGTGTTTTTGTTTGTCACACCTTCATGTCCAAATGGCTGAAGGGGTGTGAAAGAACACATAACAAATGCAAGTGTGCGAGAGCCATGCTTCGGCACGAATATCGACTCGACCGGAGTGATACCACGGCCTCACAGAAAACCGACGTATACGTATGTTTCGTCGTGTGAGTGAGGTTACCGGAGGCCCAATTCCCTTCCTCCCCTCCGCAATCTTCCCAATCCCTGAATCCCTAACAATCCTCAAATTCCTAATCCCTTAACGCACTTGTAACTGCCTTGCTTTTGGTGTTCCATATGTCCAAGGGCGACGCCGATTGCTTACCATCAGGTGATCCGTCTGCTCGTTTACCGGCTTATCCCATAAAAAAGACACGTAGACACAAACCGCTGGCTGAAGCCAGTCATCCATTACAACAAACCAGTCTGTATAAGAATAATGAAGCTTCTGACAGTCCTATTTTGAATTGAAATTACAATCTGTTTTCTATCACACTTTGAAATAGATGCAACTGGGAAGTGTTAGTAATTTGTAAACAGTAAAATAAACCATATCAAGGTCAGGGTTAGTTCAAAGTCGAAGCATTTATTCCAGATAAACATGTACATTATATAGTTACACTACTGAAATATATATCAATGGTGCAATGATCACTCGTAGGTCGTAGTGGTTTTTGACGGTTAAGAGGTTTAAGACGCCCGCTTCTCACGCATGAGAATACGAGTTCGAAACCTACCAACGACTTTTTAAGATTATTTAGACACTACTGACAAATAGTTAAAGAAAATATCGTGAGAAAACCTGGGCGTATAATTTCTAATTATAAGTTTGAAGTCGCCAACCCGCATTGAGCAAGCGTGGTGATTAATACTCAAAACTTCTTCATGTAAGAAGAGGCCTTTGGTCAGCAGTGGCCACTTATGGGATGTTGATGATGATCAGTCAATCATAGGATCATAATCACGGAGTTTGGAATTGTGCCCGGTATATGGCAATGGACTCACCGCCAATTACATAGGACTCATAACATAATTAGTGAAAAGTGTGTGTTACATTGTACAGTGGCATTAAGTGCCGTAATGTACACCTCTACCTATCCCATCGGGGATAAAGGTGTATATTATATATTTATGCATTTAGAGTATTAGTAACTCTATTCTCGTTTATTAATTATCGAAAGTTTGGAAGATAATGAAAACGTTTTAGACTATCATTAGAGTGTAAAGCAGTGTTCCATAAAAGTAAAGTGGCTCATCGTAGAAGGTAGGGTAATATCTTAAAATAACGAAGCAGCTGCCTTTATTAAATTTTCTGTTGTTACAGTCTGAACATTCAATTGCGAGAGCTCTCCAATTTTGATTTTTTAGTCAAACCTTTTTGTGATGATATTTTTTCGTCGTTGATTTATATTTGATGTTGTTTTAGAATAATTGTGTTGTCTGTAGTATAGTCTGTAGTAGATAAAATTTTTAGAATCGATAACTAACTAAGTAAGTAATAGGAATTGCCTATTGTCTTATACACGGCACAATTCCAGACTCCATACTTTTACGTAGAAATTTTCTATACCCGAAAAAACAGCAGGATTACTCTGCCCCACCCAAATATCTTAAGTACAACACCATAAACCTTATTTTAAACAACCATAACCACAAAAATAAAAAAAGAACAAAAATGAATGACACAAAAATTATTCCAATCACCATTATTAACCCCACATCGCTGGGCTTAAGCCAAAAGCGACCCCGCTTAATTACAGAACCATTTTTTCAAGCATTGTTACCGCGTCCAGGTTTTATTAGAATTTCTGCTTCGTAATTCACTTTTTGTTCAAACTGGGCCATCGGCTTTTTAAATGAACGGAGTCACGCGTCATTTTTGTATATTTTCTAGGCTTTGTTTTGATGCGATTATGGAGTATGGAATATGTATGTAAATTATCGTGAAATTATCGGATACATCATTCTAGGGATGAAGGTCTTTTGACATTTATTGCTCTATGGATCGCAATTGTTGCATTTTTTATTCCAGGGTTTTTACACGTCTGTTAAAACCGTTATAAATATTGATTGTTTAATGAAAGTATGGATATAATTGTAAAAGGATTAAATAAGGGCCTGATTTACGATTGAAGTGGATATTAGTTGGTTACAGATTCTTGGGTCGAACAAGGTATTGTTGATTTATTTCAAAGGAGTACTTATTAAAATCATCTAGGAGCTTACTATTGAATCCAATTCCAATCGATCGACATTGGTATGGTGAAATTTCGTACTCTTGAGTTGCAACACTAGCGCCCATTGCTTCCGCATTGAGTCGATATGTAATGAACTAAATAGTATTGAGTTTGGCTATAGATTCCGTACTTTGAATGCTATTTTTACAGCTACGATAAGTTTTGACATTGAATAAATATTGAAATTTTATTGGATTGAAATTGCATTGACATTGAAATTGGTTTCAAGAGTGAGCACCCTGTTGTTAATATTGAGTTTGATTATTACAACGAGAGAGAGAGAGAGAGAGACTAAGCTTTTCTTTTTTTGCCCCACACCGGGATTTTCTCCTGTGTCATGGGTGCATTTACAAACCTACAAGTTCACATACACAGTTGCCCAGCTACTGCGCCGATGGGTTGTCAAATTTTATCTATCTTCTCAAGAGCACACACATACAAGCGTGATAAAATGTTAGTCTCACGAGATTACAGAGAATGTAAATGGTTGAACCCATAATTTTGGAGGTCTAACCCCGTAACCGTTTAATATCGAGAGCTTTGAACGATCATAAATCTTGTAATTTTAGTTCGGGCGAAGAGGAACATGATTTACGGGATTCTTACGATGAGTTAGTATTTGAAGTAGACGCATAAACATTTTAGTTTAACGTGAATTTTACACGCGATTTTCCTCAAACTGCAAAGATTTTAGTTAGATGACTAACACAGTCGTCGAATTAGTGTGAAATATTTTTATTGTACTTTTTTTTAGATTCGAATTGCTCTTCTGTTTACGCGTAGTTTTTTACTGTTATTACGTTTAGATAATGGTCGAGGAAAATGTTAATTGAAGAACGATTTACTAGTCTTTATGCGCTTACATAATATAAATTCTTGAGTAGGTGTCTGTTTATGTAGCGAACTTCTCCAATTGAGGAAAAATTTACGCTTTTTTAAAGTATTTTTAAAAAGATTCCAGTAGTGTGAATTCAAATAGAAACACTTAAATCTTCATGGTTGCATTTTACCAATAATTATTTCAATTTTTGAGTCCTTCGTGTTTCTGAACTAGATAATGTGGGTCCGACATTATATTTAGTAAAATATCACACACACACACATAATAAACACAAAATGTCAAAAACCACTTTTCCTAAAAGAACTTGGCCATCAAGTACTTCATAGTTTGGTAACTTTTTGCCGTAAAAAGCTGAAGAAACTTCATACACGACTTAACCCTTTTAAGTCTCGAGAGTATTTTGAAAGTTCATGTGGGTAAACTAATACCATCAATTGTTGTCATTTGTAGGGGTATTTATTACCTCTTAAGTTCTGGCAAGGGTTGTGAAAATTGACAGGTTGGGTTTCTGACTGCTTCGCGAGACGTTACTATGAGGACTCGTACACAAAACTGCAATGCGATGCGATGCAAATTTGCAACGCAGAAAATTACGATGCCAAATGCAGCGATGCGATTTCGTGCGACAAGGCGTTTCCTAAGATGACCATTCCTTTGACGACCGTCAACCGTACTAAACATATTTAAAATTAAAAACTAGGTAGTGATACGGATCGTAATAAAAAGAAGTGTGAATTTCTGTTATTGCTTAGGAAATACAGGAAAAAAATAAAAAAGATTTTGGGAAGACAAGATTTCGATGCGCGATACGAATCAATTCGCAAGTTATTGCGACAGTTTTGTGTACGAGCCCTGATAGTTATGCTGAATGTACATACATTGTAGTTTCCAAGTTCAATCCCTAACGAATCCCTAACATTTTTACAATATCGTATGATATTATAATAAAATAATTCTTTTATAAAGTACGGTTAAAAATACGACTCACCCCCTTCTCCTAAGTGTAACACATTTTTCTGTAAACCGCATCAAAATCGGTTTAACTAATCACGAGATAATCGCGCACAGTCATACATCCTTGAAGAATTGCACAACTTTACTCCCCCTAGTCTTTTCCACCATCGTACCACAAGAAGTTAAGTGTGGGAGGGCCATGCTTCGGCACGAATGGGCTGGCTCGACCGGAGTGATACCACGGTCTCACAGAAAATCGACGTAAAGCAACGCTTGCCTTGTGTTTCGTCGTGTGAGTGAGGTTACCGGAGGCCCAATTACCTTCCCCAATCTCCCCAATCCCTGAATCCTCAACGATCCTCAAACTCCTAATCCCCAAAAAGCCGGTGACGCACTTGTAACGCCTCTAGTGTTCCAGGTGTCCATAGGCGACACCGATTGCTTACCATAAGGTGATCCGTCGGCGCGTTTACCGGCTTATGCCACAAAAAAAAAGACAATCGGCGAACCGTCACCGTAGATGTCCCACCCACACGCATGAAGCGCTTCGCATCAAGCTTCCTTGTGCGTACTGCTAAGGAGTGGAATTCTTCGCCAGAGTCTATATTTCTTGAATGGTCTTTAAGGTCTGAGTGAATAGGATGGTTATAGAAGTAGGACGACGTGCTCCATCGTAGACCGCATCATCGCTTACCACTAGGCGAGATAGTGGTCTACAGGCCAAAATGTGAACATCTTTTTTTTAAGTCGGTTAATGATTTTAACACAAGGTGATTATTCGTCTTTCTTCACAGTAATATCTGTTTCAAAATATGGTGAGTAAGATACAAAGAAGATTGGTGTCAATTCACATAATATCTCTAGATCTGTTCGTATCTCCTGAACCTAATCACCAGCAATGAATAAATCTGTAGCCATTTTCTTCTGTCCTGGCCATTTCTCAAGTAGATTGGGGTCGAAACTGACTTGTAAATAGATTAGCACTACCGTTGCCAACAAATTGAATTAATTAGGCAACCTCCCTGAAATTGGGTGTACCGAAGTACGTATTGTTAGGCGGAATAGCTTTACTTTTTGCACGAAATGGACCAAAATTATTGTTCTTTGTTCGTGCTCGATGTAGGATTGTTGGAAGTATGTTGTAACTATCAATGAGATTGTTAAGCTTTCTTACTTAATAGATATATTATTGCTCTTATACAAAGATGTTTTACTGAAATAACCGGTAGATCTAAATAATAATAACTTGTAGAGCTTAGCGCCGTATGTTGTATGGTTTTTGTGCAAGAAGTGAAATGGTATGCACTCGTTTAGGTTCGGTATGAGAGTGTTTAATTATAAATCAAATTTATACATGCCAGGGCATAGGTGACATCAGGTGACATCTGGCACAAATAGCTTTACTTAACATTTTTTGTTGACGTTCAAATGTGCCTTTCTGGTCTAATTGAAATAAATGATTTTGATTTTGACTTTTATAGTTTACCGAGGAATGAGAAACATAGAAACATCTTTCCAAAAAAATACGTTTTCATTTGAGTAACAATTAAGACAAGATTTAACTTCAAAAAGTGACAAACTAAAAAAATAACCTAATTTGTAGCTCTTTTCCTCGAACTTTGAACGGTATTCTATAGAATCATGAAAATGCAAATTATCTATAACCTCTCTTTCTTCACCAGGTCTCCGTGGAGGAATGGACCTCGATGTGGAATGACTACGCCCAGAACCCATCAGCTGCTCTCAAGTGGCAACAGCTGTATGCCCAGTTCATGTTCCAACTGGAAGACGCCAGCGCTGATGGCACCATCGATAGCGATGAGTTCACCACCGTCTGCTCCTCCTACGGCATCGACCCTCAGGAGTGTAAGGTGGCTTTTACTAAGATGGCTAAGGTAAGTTCTTCTGATATCTCTTTGTTCTTTTCTAGTAGGTTCCTTCTGAATTTGGTTGTTGGCGGGTTTTGGGAGAAAAGTAGTCTTGTGATGATATTTTTGGATCATTTCTCAGGTTTTTGCCCGATCAAGTATCTGTTATTATTGAAAAGATTGGGCGTATTTAATCGATCGTCCATTTGGAATAATTCGTATTTTGTGAAAGAGTAGGTTAAAAATGTTAGAAAAGGAAACACAATAGCAAACGGATACTTAAAATAATTGAAAGAAAATGTTGTTTAAGCTCCATTTTACAAGGACATTTTTGGAACGAATTCCAATCACAATAATTGGTAACAGATATCCCAATTGGATTGTTAATAACTATAATCATTTTGATTTTCTAAAACAGGTTTACGAATTCATGAAGCAATTAGAATGACAATGAACTTATTAAAGACTTCTTTCGTCTCTGTCAGTCTATACTTCGCCTTCGTCTATATTTAAGTGGGAACTACTTTAGTTCTTGTGTATATATCCTATATCCTGTATCTAGAACCTTTTTATATTTATTTATTTATTTAGGTTCTAGGTTATTTATTTATTAGTTTTTATTTTATCGATGGTCGTCCCACTGCAGGGCAAAAGTCTCCCTATCCTCCTTCCACTCGTCTCTTCTTTAAAACTTTCTGTGGCCAATCCTTTTCATAGGCGGCAAGGTCATATTATATTATAGAGTTATAATTGAAGTGGCCGAATAATGATGTACTCAAGTACCTTTTCCTTTTGTTCAACATTTCAGATAACAAAGTGGCATGAGTCAATTATTATAGTAGTAACCCAAATGATATTGTAATAATTTTTTTGCTAACTTACTAGGAATGGAATTCTTTGTCAAAGTCTTTCCTGACGGGTATAATCTGAGTGTCTTTCAGACCCGACAGAATATTATGTTGGAGGGAGTATGCTTCATTGTAGGCCGCATTATCGCATACCACCAAGCGAGATAATGACCCATTAGTAAAATACTTTTCTACTATTTTCTTCTACCTCGTTTCTTATTCCTTGTGAAACGCCCATTCCCAATTAATGCAAATTTTAGCATAACTATTCACAAACTCAGAAGTAATTTGCCTAAAATTTTCTTACGTAAAGTGGTTGGAAAAATGCGGTCCGTGGCAATTTCTAATTAGTTTGCTCAGGGCTTCAAGAGTGCTGCAATAAAGATCTTGAGACTGCGGCCATCATAAATCTATATAGCCATTGTCTGTTCCTACCCTAAGCCCGGTTTTATTAGGAAATTTTATCTCAGTAGGACAAATAGGAGTCGAGTTTATCTTCTGGTTGCTTTTTTATCTTCATGATGTATGCTATCGTGGTTGTTATTTCCTTGAAAATGATTGCTGTGTCATCAAATTTCAATATAATTTTTGTCATTTTATACAGTTATGCTTTAAGTGAGTTCTATTGTAAGCTTTTGATTGCTAAATTTTTAAGTATTTTTCTTAATTTATTCTTTATTGTATCAAACTTATTCTCGTTTTTGTTCTTTAAATGTATGAAAGTCTTTGCGTCACTGTTGAAACAAACAAAATCCACCAGAAACAATTCCGTACTTGCTTTAAACATCAGATTTCCCCCGTTCCATCGAAGTATGAATAATGTACATCGATTTATTAAATCGAACACAATGCTCAATTCAAATCGTTTTTCCGATTTCCATTAAAATGGACGATTAAACTTTATAATAGTTGAATATTCACACGTTTTACAATTGATTTATTCGATTTGTATATTTGTTATTCATTTTTGCATCGTGCGGATTTTATGAGCCGCCATTTTTTGTGCTGACTGAATAAATTGGGGCATAAATACATTCTGTTTAATTTGAATTCCAGCGTCAGCATTCAGTTTTTTTATTGTCAACAGAATTTAACATTCAACTGTTTACTGATCATTTATAGAACTGACTTGTTTACGTCTGACTGAGAATTTATAAGCAGATCAAATGATTTCTTTTTTAATTTTGACGTAGGGTTGTTTGGGTATACTGTCATTGACCGTGGTCACGGGTTTCATAAACAATTCACGTTAAGGAAATTATTTTTGGAACTTTCAAACGTTATTTTTGACGTTGTTTAAACAGAAACCAAAACAATTTTGGACAGACGTGATCTGATTGTTAACGTTAACATGTTAATTTATGAATCGTCTTGTTTAACAGGGCAAGAGCAGCGTCTCATGGGAAGAGTTCCAGGAGTTATGGAAGGAGTACTTCTCCACCGAGGATCCTAACGCTCCCGGCAACTTCATATTTGGCAGGACTAGCTTCTAAGCACCAAGTTCACAGCACGCCACGTGCACCACGAGACAAGAGGAGAAATGAAGATATTTCACAGACAAACCGTCTAACATTCCATGGATTAAAATAGATGTAATCACGACAAGGTTCGGCTTCTACGGGTCTTTCACACGGGCGCTTTAGTAATCGCAGCGGAGGCTAGGCTATCCCCAGCTTCGGAAGCCCGTACGTGACCCCTTTTAAGTGTCAATATCGAACAGCCTTTGATCCATTTACGAGTCGCTACTGAGACCGTATCGGCTGCTTGTTAAGGAAAGTTCAATGGATAACGAAGCTAGCCATTGTATCGTGACCAGGTTCACGAGGACTTTGACTTTAATAGTTATCGTTTGCGGTCGCAGTGAAACGCTGAAGGATAGGTTAGTTTGAAGTTTTGTCAAGTACACTCGTTCGTGGATCAGAGGCATAAAATTTTCATTTTACGTGTGTATGTGTTCAATATAGAAATAATAATAATAACCTTCATATTTCTCTCTAATAGTGGAACAATTTCAAATTCACGTTTTATTACTAAGGCTCAAGTTTACTAGAACTTTTCAATCTTTTAGATACTATACTAATAACAACGAATGAAATTATTCACTTTACGCATTATTATATAGCATATCTCGTAGCCATATCTAATGATTCTTGAATTTTTCTCTGCCGGTTTGGTCCGAATTACGAAATTATAACATCTATTACGTGGTCTTTTAAACTATTGTATGGCTTTGTTTTTAAATTATAAATTACTAATATTGTTGTTACTTGTTCGAAAATAAGGGTCACTACAAATACTTGATTAAATCAAATTTTAATATACTTTTGACAACGTGATAATCGCTATGTTTGTCTGTGGTGGTCCTTACAAATTGATAGTAATTTTTATTGTTGTATTTTATACCTACTTATGTTTCAAATTTAAATGTTTAATATATATTATAATATGATATATTGATCTAGTCAAATGTTTTGTGCTCTGAAAATCTATGAAATTTCATCTTGTTAAGTCGCTATATTATAGATATAATAGGCAATGATTAAATGTATGTAAATAATGTATTGAGTTTTATTTACTTAGATAAATATACCCTACCAATTGACATGCCTTGAATAGGGAAGTATCCTTTTTATTTTTATATCCGACTGATAAATCAATTTTTAAAACATTAACATGTAGTTGTTTTCTTTTCTCACAAAATTAAATACTTTCGACGATAATATATTAATTTGAAATATCGTGTAATGTCACAGCGTGTCACATTTTGTAGCACGTTAAGACGTAACGACCTCCCACTTCTAAACTTAACTCAATTTTATCTAAATATTGTAACTCTATACGTGAAAATAAAAAATACGTGTCAACTATTCTCAATGTCATGTCAATTAAAATACTCTATTACATAAATTAATTTGCATATTTGAACTTACTTAGGTACTCATGTATTTTAACACAAACAATGATACTCATACAAATCAAGGTGGCTTTAACTTTGACACAAATCCCAAGTTAAAAGAATCAAATTAATTTGATTTTTAAAACATTAATATAATCTTACTTACTTTAATGTACATATTTTTTATATAAGTAAAATGTTTATTTGGTGTAAAAAGCCAGATTACAAAATAAATCTTACTAATATTAAGAACTGTAGGATCAAAAGTATTTTCACCACATCACAAACATATAACATTCAAAATACACAATAGTAACAAAATAAAGGTCTGATGCATGCGACAATAATGGTGTACATAGCACTGGCAATTCATAGGCTTAACAGTGGCTTAAAAATAAAATCCAATTTGAGAATTATGGAAAAGAAAATAACAACAATAATCCACACCATACACACATTAAAATGAGAATTTAACAAGTTCAATTTTCTATATAATTATCATATGTCTGATTAAAACAAAACAAATTAACAACAAAAATTAATTAGTATCTATGCCAGTTTTTAGTTAGGGAAAAATTAACAAAATTAACATCTTTCAACTTTAATCTATCTAGAATCGAGACCAAGTCTATTTAGATGTCTTGTCTAAACGCCTATATCCACTGTCACTGAACTGAATTTACGAGACAACCCTGAAATAGTTTCAGGCACGAATTACTCAGGAATGTTCATTATTCATTGCACGGACAACCCAGCTAGTGGTGCTTGCTATACGAAAGTAAACTTTAGTTATTGCTAAGCAAAGTTGATATTAAGATGATTGCTTAATTAGCTGAGACTTCGTAAATGCAACTGCTCAGTACGTTTTCTAGAGTTCAATTTCAAAATAATGTACAAAGTGTTTGAATAGCCTCATAACCTAATCCAATGAATTTAATCTACATGTAATAAAGTCGTAGAAAAATCAAAACTGTACATTGAATATTTTTCTAAAAGAATACTTAGGGCGTTATCTACAATAGATGCTGAAGCCAAAATATGGTTTTTAAAAATTTGTCTGTTGGTTTGTTTGTCTGTATGTATGTCCGGGGTGATCTCAAAAAGTATTGTATGGATTTCCTTAAAATTTTGTATGCTTATTACTAAAAGGTCGGGTCAACATATAGTCTACATATTGTCACGTTATCACCTACGGGGTGAGCGCAGCAAATCACTATTCCATGCGAATGAAGTCGCGGGCACAGCTAGTAGGTAATAAAAAAGTACCAAAAAGTGTCTTAGTAAGTATCGCATCGATAGCCCATTGCAGAACACCACCGTTGAGCTATGGAACTCCTCTACATACGTATAATATAAGTGTTTAAAAAAAAAACTTTGCTCCCTTTAGGATTTTCTCCTGTGTCGTGGGTGCGTTTACAAACATACAAGTTCACATACACATGACACCCAGACCCGAAACAATAATTTATGGATCACACAAAGGAATCAAACCCGCTACACGTTAGCGGCAACCCAGCCATCGTGCCAAACGTGCAGTCGAAATAGTAAGTATAACCTATAGTAAGTATAATCTTCTTATAATATCTTCTGATTCACTTCGTTGGGGGAACCAAGACTGTTATTCATGTCCCTGGGACGCGCCGGACTTCAGTGTTCCGGTGTTTTCACGGTTGTATCTACTGTAGATCAGGATGCAACTCCAGTAAGCCCTGGCTTACTGGAGTTGCAGCGGTTGTAGGAGGGTCTGGCGGACTTGTCTCTTAAAAAAAGTAAGTATTATTTTAGACTGACTGACAAAAGACTGCCTGTTGACCGCGTGGCCGCAAGTGCGACTGCCGGGCAAGGGGTATCGGGTTCGATTCCCGGGTCGGGCAAAGTATTACTGGGTTTTTGAAAATCTCAGTAGTGGCACGGAGTCTGGACATGTGCCCGGTATATGGCAATAGGCTCACCCCCTATTACATGGGACTCATAACACAAATAGGTAGTGAAAAAGTGGGTGTTACATTGTATAGTGGCATTAAGTGCCGTAATGGGGATAAAAGGCGTGATGTTATGTTATGTTATATAATCTCAGTAAACCTTTTTCCTGAATCCTTTTTGGAAACCAACGAGCTATATAATAAATTGAACCAAAAGCCCTTGTATCCAAAAGTCACAATTAAAACCACACGGTAACGCGCAAATGATTTATGAACATGGGTACTGTATGGGATTAAATCGCTCAAACCCTTATGGGACTATCCAGTCAATGAGAAATGGGCCATCGAAACCGAGATGACATTACGAATGAATGTATGGGTGTAATGCGAATATACGTGTGGAATGGGAATATACGGGTTGAATGGGAATCTCAATGGGAATCCTACATCCGTTCGAACATTTCGGTGTGTCATTGTAAATTGGATACCATGACAGCTTTGATGGGACTTTGTAACGTGTCAATGTTTCAAATTGTTAATTTAAATAGCTGTTTGGTTTGTTGAGTGATTGCAAATGTATGCACGAGATGTCTCGGATTCTATTCTCCGATCGAGCAAAGCACTATTGAGTATTAATATACAATGTAAACTTGAATCACTGACTATAAGAAGTGCGCAAAATTTTGTCATTATACTCAGCACATTTCCAAATATACCTCTATACCTGAATTTTCGAAAACCGAAAATCTCAAAAACGATATCTTTGCTCGACTCAAAAATCGAAAATTTTGAAAATAGTGAATGAATGGATCTTCTGTATGCTATTTACTCTGTGGTATTAGTGATGTACCTAACCAAAGATGACGTGTTCGGAACCGCGAATCAATATCCGAACATATCCGGACCGCGGATATTAGCATATTGTCATAAAAATGATTTGTTATGATTACGTTGTACCTAATGTTTATTTTGAATATTTTTTGTTATTATTATGTAGCAATAAACAAATGTAATAAACAAAACATCACGCCTTTTTTTCCCGAAGGGGTAGGCAGAGGTGTACATTATGACACTATACAATGTAACACTATTTACAGTTTTCACTATTTATGTAATGAGTCTCATGTAATAGGGGGTGAGCCTATTGCCATATACCGGGCACAATTCCAGGCTCCGTGCGACTACTGAGATTTTTTTAAAACCCATTAATACTTTGCCCGACCCGGAAATTGAACCCCTTGCCAGGCAGTCACACTTGCGACCATTTGACCAACAAGGCAGTAAATTTTATAAAAATGTTTATAAAAATATTTGACTATTAGATTTACTTTACCTATGTGACTTTTAATCGTAATCTCTGTAATTTCACCTAGCTTCCATGTAATACAGACATAAGTTTACGTAGACATGTATATCGAGAAAATACGTGCAAATATCTCATTTGCCTTTAAACAAACATGGCGTCAGTTTGCCATCCGTCTAGCATCCGTGCAATGCTGGCAACGTCGCAGTAATGAAGTTTGGCAACAATTCATCACGTACCTATGTGGGAAACCAGACTTCATTAGCACCACGTTGCATATCATCGGATATGGTATCCGTATCTATTAGGTGATAGTAACATCACTAATAAGCATGTGGTTATGGTTTAGTGGAATGATATCTCGAGTTTTCA